GCCCACGGCGGAGGAGACGTCCTATTAACGGACGGTAAACGTTACGAACAAGACGGGCACAGAGACGACGAGGAGTTGAATTGCCACGTCTATACTGTAAATCTAAATCAGGGGCACCGTGGTGGCGAGATGTTAACTACCGAGCCTGGTATGCAGGTGGTCGTGGGTTCGATCCAGACCCTGACGACGCCTGCTGTATAGTTGGAGTTTGCGTGTCTCTCTCTCTCTCTCTCCCTCTCCCCGTGATCACGTGGATTTTTCTCCGGGTCCTCCGGTTTTTGCCCTCCCCGTTTAGAATGAGCGTGCGTTCAGAGTATTCGCCTGCTGTAAATTCCCACGCGATAAGCCACTTCGTTGAGCTATCATTTGGAGATGACCAGGTCGCTTCTGAAAAAGAACCATATCGCAGCTCAGTGGGCATTACCTGTTAAAAAAAAAATGTTTTTAATACAACAAAAGTAAAATGCCCTGTTAATTTTTTTTTAAACAGGTCATTTTACTTTAGGTTTAGCATTCCCAACACTCTGCATCTGTTCCCTCTCCCCGCCGTCTCCTGTGAGAACAGACGCTGTCCAGTAGGGGGCACGGGGGGCGGGGTGGGGGGTCAGTGAGAGACAACAACAAACAATACAACAACAAAACAATACAACAACAAAGCAATACAACAAAACAATACAACAACAAAACAATACAACAACAAAACAATACAACAACAAACAATACAACAACAAACAATACAACAACAAAACAATACAGCAACAAACAATACAACAACAAACAATACAACAACAAAACAATACAACAACAAACAATACAACAACAAACAATACAACAACAAAACAATACAACAACAAACAATACAACAACAAAACAATACAACAACAACAACAACCGATAGGAGTGCAAAAATAGAGAAAAGGTGAACGGAGTCACTAAAAATGTAAACACAAATACGAAGCGTATACGAGGACAAATTGTCCATCGGTTGCTGCCGATTTTCCAACACCAAATGGCAAGCTTGGGGCAAGGCAGCAAAACAACAACAACAACAGTCCCAGACCACACCAAGACAACAACGTACAGCAGTCCATAAATTCAATTGCACAGTGACCAGTCTCAAACAATCAGCATCCTTGTGGGTATTATAGTAGCACATAATGCCTAGTTATTTGCCTTAAATATATGATTGAATAAAGTAATTTGAAAGTAATAATGTAGAGTCATTTGTAAACCCACTGTTGGATGGAAGGGCTCCCCCCCCCATGCTATGTCGGTCATGGGTGTCGTTTAACCATACTTCACCACGCTGGTCAGCGCGATTGGTTAAGGAGGGGGTGGGGGCGGCGGGCAGTGAGGGTGGTTAGGGCCAGGACCGGTTTCAAATAGCAACTCGCCACTGATGTCAGCTGTGGCTAGGGAATGAAACTCAGGTCCCGTCGGGCTTTTGCGGCAAGTTGTGCAAATCGGCGCGCACTGCTGCTCCACACGATTCAGGTGACCTGAGGTAAGAATTTGAGCAACCGCGTTAAGAGGCTTACTCCGGCTCCCACTTCAGCAGTTTGCGAGCACAAACATCAAACATGCATTTGGCAGCTCAATTTTTTTTGTTTGTTAAGAAGGTAGCAACTTTAATCCCACGAATATTGCAGGTTATCAACATGCAGGCAGCTGGCAAAGTTCCGTGAACGTTTCTGGCCCAATGGGATCTCGTGTTTTTCCTCGCAGCTGGCCACTACGGCTTTGCCTCTCCATAACCAGCAGGTGTTAATAATAATCCCTACAGATGCTCGCCAACCTCCCCAAGTCAGCCGGCAGCAGCAGCAGCAGCAGTGGCAGTGATAAAGAGCCGGTGTCCATTCACTGTCAGCGCACCAGCAAGGAAGCCCGAGGGACTACCGAATTCGAGAAATGCGTAGCCGGTTGGCGCGAGGTTTATAGAAAAAAAACCTGGAATTTAAGGCCCAAAAAAACCCCCAACCTTTTCAAATATGATAATTGTTCTTTTACCCTTTAGTCTGGCAACAAAACTGACACCTTTTTTTTACGAGGAGTCATGTTTGCATTGACCACAATAACCCGCGGTCGGAATGCAAACAAAAAACATAACTCTGATAATGTATTGGCACTGTCCTTGAAATTGATTGGTCCACACCCGAGACAGCTTTCCTTAGAGCCCAGTCTCGCATGGTGTTGGACCAGATGACGCAGGGTGGGTTTCCCGTTCACCGCTGAACGTCGGAAAGGGCAAGCGGTTCAGCGTTCATTTCAATTTAGAGAGGCGTGGTAGCGCTGTTGTTTTTTAAAGGCGCAACTACTCACCGCAGAGAACCGTAGCGTAATGACCGCCGCAACTCTACGTCAGCCGGCGCCAAACCGTGCCACGCGCCCTCCCCGCGCGGCCTTGTTTGGGAGCCTCGTCTCCGATAAGTTCATTTAATTTTATTCTGACGATTCCATTCCGAATCCATTCCGATGACGTACACGCGTGTGCACACACACGCGTGTACGTCATGTCGTGGGAACGGAACCAGTATGGGAGAGGGTTAAACTCCACGGAATTTCACCTGCGTGGTAGAGGCAGCATTGGTGCATGGTCGGCAGGTGGCACTGACATTATCCAGAAACCCAATTTTCAGCGTGGGATAACACGAGCTGTATTGTATGCTTTAATTTCACACGGACAGTTGGGACGAATGTGAGGCCAGATTGGCTGGATAAAAAAAATGTATTCAGAAAAAATCCTTCGTGTACAATGATGATGAAGATTTTGAACCAGCCCATGTCATCGTTTAACCAAGAATGGGCCATCGTGTTGGCCATGTTTATAAAATCTAAATCGTACATTTAGAAATAACCAGCAAAAGAAGCCAAACTCGAGGCATCCCAAAGTAACCACGGTTAGGACTTTCCTGGGTCAATAAAATTACATAAAACAAAATGTATCCAATCATACGGCGGGGGGGGGGGAGGGGGGTCAACTAACCATCGCAATACCATGAGTTATAACTCGCTCGTCCCTTTGGGGGATGGATAACTTTTGCACCATTGAGGCAAACCAAAGTGGGGGTGGTTCCCCAATTGGCATCTCGGTCCTCGCTTTAAAATCACACGTAATTTTGATTTAAAGCTTTCGTGACTGCAGGGATTCATATTCTTGGTTCTTTCGGTAAAGTCACGTAGAAGGGAAACAATAAAATAATAAAAATATAAAACAATAAAATTCTCACGACGTTTCGACTGCAACACAAGCAATCATGATGGTTTTCACACCTGATCATGATTGCTTGCGTTGCAGTCGAAACGTCGTGAGAATTTTATTGTTTTATATTTTTATTATTTTATTGTTTCCCTTCTACGTGGTGACTTTACCGAAAGAACCAAGAATATAAAAATCACACGGAATGTCCACTGCTGGCTTGATCACCGATGGACACAAGTCCCCGCCCGACACTCGTGTGACGCGCGGGGACCTTTTTTCAGCCGGATTATTTTACTTTCTATGCCGTTACGAGGCTCTTTGAAATGACAATGCACGACGCGATCTCTCGTGGCTCAACGTAAAATGGCTTGGTTTAACCCCGGGGATGGATGTGTTCAGCGACGGACGACGCTCGGCACGCCGTGTTTTAACGCTCCGTAAAAACACCCCGCAAGAGGTCTCTCTCCCCTTTGCTCCCCAAATCCGCTGGCCCAACATCGGTGGCCGCTCTCTAAAATGGTGCGAGCCTATGGGTCTCTACGCGAGCCTATGGGTGTCTATGCGAGTCTGTGTGTGTCTATGCGAGTCTATGCGAGTCTATGGGTGTCTATGCAAGTCTATGGGTGTCTATGCGAGCCTATGGGTGTCTATGCGAGTCTATGGGTGTCTATGCGAGTCTATGGGTGTCTATGCGAGCCTATGGGTGTCTATGCGAGCCTATGGGTGTCTATGCGAGTCTATGGGTGTCTATGCAAGTCTATGGGTGTCTATGCAAGTCTATGGTTGTTTATGCGAGCCTATGGGGCTCCATGCAAGCCTATGGGTGTCTATGCAATTCTATGGGTGTCTATGCGAGCCTATGGGTGTCTATGCAAATCTATGGGTGTCTATGCGAGCCTATGGGTGTCTATGTGAGCCTATGGGTGTCTACGCGAGCCCGTGTGATGCTATGGGTTGGTGCCCACTCTTTTGAGCCCCTACGTCCCCCACACCCTCTGGAACTCCCTCCCCCCACCCGCCCCCCCCAAGACAACCCCCACCCGGAGCGTTTCCCCTTTCTGCTTTCAAGTCGCTCCTAGAAAGCAACAGTCACTTTAAAGCACCCCCCCCCCCCCCCAACCCCCAGTCCCCCTCCCCCCTTTTGTTTTCTCTCTCTCCCTCTCTCTCTCGCTCTCTCTCATTATCAAAGCCACCAAACCCACGGTAGGAGAGTCCGGGGGAAACGCGGCCGAGGTGTGCGGCTGCAGGGCCGCGGCAGCTGCAGGCGACTTCGTCTCCAGCTGCTCAAGGCAAAAGCCGAGTGAAGCGGCTGTGGTTCTGCCCGGGGGACGAAGCGGAAGTCGTGTGGTGGCCCCAATAAAAAATATAACGGCATCTTTATTCAACATTATTTTTTATATATATGTATATATATACACACAAACACACACACACATTTTTTTTCCCTATACTGCTGCGGAGGCAGTGGTGCACAATTAACAAACTAAAAAAAATATATATAAGGTTGACGTTTCTGGCAATGGTCCCGATTCATGTCGTGCTACGTTAAGGGCAGTGTGTTTCTGGCGAATGTGTTGACCGTCAACATTCTCGATCGGTTTCAGACTCGCACGGCCGGCTACGTACGGCGCGAAAGAAGTTCACCGTGCGCACGTACGTACACCGCTTCTTGCATTTCTTTGATCTGCAATGTGTAAGGCCTAGAACACAAACCACGAGCCCGTCTGCCTGCCAAGGACGTTTAGGAATAACTACGGGAGCACTAGTGAGCGCGCGTCGCCAGCCGTTGACAACCGCTTACCTTTCTTCACTTTCTTTTGTAACTTCATGGTGTCGAGGGACTTCTTTTTAATTTCTTGTCTCACCCTCTTGAAATCTACCGCGGGGGAGATGCGACATTAGTGAGAACGTTCAATCGGCCCGTTCGCCTCGCCACGCGACGCACAACGCTGCCGTTGATTCTGAGCGAGCGAGGGCCAAGCCACAGCTAGGCCCACGGAGTGGCCAAATATTCAAACCTCCAAGTAGAGTTCAAGACACACTGTACACAGTTGTTTCAAATGTATACGTGCAAAATGTTTACATTTAAATCTCGCTCAGTCGACGCGTTTTTTTTTTTTCAAAAGCATTCACGTTCGTTAAATTCGGCTCACACACCACGCCGGTGATCAAACTCTGACCAATATGAGCCGTCGATAATATCTCTCTTTGGCACCTTTCGCATGATCTTTGTCCAGCTGATTGGTGGATTTTTTCCAGTCCTCAAGTCGTTCTTGCAAGGGGTTGATCAGACTGTCGAGCAATGCCCTGAAGAGAGAAGGTGCACACGGTTGGGTTAATTGAGAGGTGCAGCTTATAGCGTTGACCGGCAATTGTGAACCGGGCGGTGGGGGTGGCTACGCACGTGGCCTTTGATCCTGCACCAAGGGTTGGTGGATCACCGCACACACACGTTGCAAAACTCCCTTCCCGTGGACGTCGAGGTGCCACAACCCTCAGCTCGCCAGGAAAGGGCGGTACGGCAAACGTGGACTCCCACCTGCTCCGTCTCTACGGGATAGAGCGTTGCCCCTCGCACGTATCGCTCTTCTTCTGTTGCTCCGGTTTCCTCCCACATTAAGCACTCATTCATTGGCTGAAGTCATCTTCATACGAAGGGGTACTGCAGAGCTTGGCCTGACCGTCTGCCTTTCCCATCCGTCCGCGGTTCCTCCTCGCGCCTCTGAGTCGTCCCTCTCTCCGAGAGCGAGCGAGCACCGTGCGGCGGTGGCGACGCATCACGATTTGAAATTTAACTCAAACACGTCTGCGTCGAGCAGTACGGATGAACAGGCTGCGCACGCGGTTCGCTACAGAATGTCAGTACACGACCACTACAAATGCTTTGCCTTCCACTCCAATAAAGAAAAAAAAACTACGATTGCGTCAGTCACTGCTGATTGATCTACCTAAACGAACTGTGGTAGAGCATTATAATATACTGCGAGCAGTACAGAGGCAGGGAGGGGGGGAGGGGTTAAAAAAAAATGTCCCAATTTCCTCGCAAGGAGATGGAACCGAACCAGAGACCCTCTGGATCGCAAAGTCCAGTGGTTCGTGTGGCAGCTCCCTTCGTTTCTCGGTTGGTTAAAAAGGTAAAAAAAACCGGCACGCTTATTGCTGTACATTTATGTGTTTTTGTAGTGCACAATGGTGCACTTACCAGCATCCGTCTACTCTCCCTGCATTCTCTGTCTCTCTTCCTAATAACACCACTGGAAAGATGCAGGAGGAGCCCCAATCTTCCATCACCACCATTAACTCAGCTTCATGTGAAAGCCTCACACTAAGGCCTCTCTGTGTTCAGCCTCAATGCCTGAAGCTTGCCAAAAGCTGCAAGAAAAAAAAAGTACAGTCCTTTGTGTCGATCCACTAGCTGGGATGAAAGTCGCCCCTCACACCGTCGCCGGATCGTCGAAGTCTGCTTGACCATACTTCACCACGCTGGTTCAGTGCGGATTGGTGAATGGGCGAGGGCCCAGAGGAGCGGTTGATGATGTTAGCTGCGGCCGCGAATGGAAATCTGCGAGCCGTGTGTCTCGGACCGTGGCACATGACCCACCGCGTCGCCGCTCCACTGCCCTAAAATCCGTGAGCGCTCCGGCAAAAATTCTCAGCGTATGCACGAGGCATGTCTCCCAGGTGACGAATGACTCGTTGTTTTTTTTTTGTGTGTCATGCTCCGAGTCGAGATTTTTTTTTAAAAAGAAGGGGGTGGTGTTTAAAAACAAAAAAATCTTGTTAAATGAAGGAAAGAGCTAAAAATATAATGACCGTGAGAAATCGAGCTGATTGTTTCGGTAGCAGCTGAGTGTGCTGCCGAGGGCATGTTAAGCCAATTTCATCGCGCTATCTATTGTGATAGCCAGGTCGCTTCTAAGAAGCTAATAAAAGCTCAGTGGGCTTCACCTGGTGAATTTTAAATAGTTTGTAGTCTACTAGCTGTACTACCCGGCTTCGCCCGGGACTTGGATCCACCACGCCCAGCCGCCTTTGTCTCCCCAGTGGCGATGTTCACACAGCAGAGCAGTTACTCGTTTGGTGGCTGAGTCGACCTAGGGGAGGCCCAGGACCGGTTAAAATAATCGTCACCGGTGGTGGCCGTGAGCGGGAATCGAACTCGGGTCGCCGGGTTCGTAGCGCAGCGTAGGGCTGACCGCTACACTACAATGCGTTACGCTTCCACGTGCGAGGGTCACGTGACAGATTGACGTCACAGCTCACTTGCCGTGCAAAAAAGATATGCATTATTGAGCTCCCCCCCCACCCAAAAAAAAACAAAAGTGGATTTTAAGAATGTTTGCATGGTGTACAGTCTGGAAAGTACCTTTTATATATATGGAGATAACCATCTGAGCGCACCTTCCGATATCATTTAAAAAAAATTCGGCTTGTATTTTTTTGCGTGATTTGCTTACCTCTCCTATACTTTGCAATCCCGTCGTGTTTTCGTATCGTTTGTCGTTGTAAAGTTCTGAACTCCGTGCCCCTAATGGACATCTGTGACAAAAAGAGCTTCATAGCTCATTGCATTCCTCCTCCAGTACAAAAAAAAACACATTCTGATTCCGACGATTGCTTCACAGCACCAAAACACGGGCCTGAGGTCAGCTGATGTCCCTTGGCGGAGTGGAGTCGTTCGTTCGGCATTGTGCTCGATGCACATTTGAACTTGGGTTTTTATCATGATCATTGAACAATTTGACATTGGATGGATCCTATAATTACTAAACACCGATGATATCTAATTATACCTTGGCCAATATAACCGACCGCACTTACATTCAAACGTAAATGCCGCTGTGTAGAAAGGAGGTGCCCTCCCTCCCCACCAGCTGAGGGTGCCATCTCTTCACCCTCATTCTATTTTGTCTTGAACGGCGGTGATTATTTTTGGCATGCGGAAATGCTCACGTGTATAAGTGCTTTGTGATTCTTTTTTTTTGCATCAATGGCGCTGTATTAACAAAACATCAATTCATATCTATGGGACCTTTTTTTGCCAGCATCAAAATGATGCATTTTTTTTGGGAAAAGGCTGTACCCTCTCTGAAAATATAACAGGGGGTGTTAAGATGTTCAAACACCAAAATAGATATACCTATAGCAAGGCATCGAGTCTGCATTAACCACACATGCTTGTGGCAAAACACACAAACAGACATGCTCTGATAATATCGCTTTAAATGGACATTTCCACAAAGGCTTTCATAATCAGGTATGCATGTGATCACTATGTCCCGATATGAAAAATAAGAATAGGGTTGTACCCTTTCTGGCGTATAAAACAGGTCTTAAGATGTTCAAACACCCAAACAGATACCTTTTGCAGAAAGGGTAAAACATATTCTTATTTTTCATACATGGATACTGGCAAAAAAAAGGTATCCCATGATTTTGTAGCTGCTCACTCCGAGCAATAAGTGCTCTGATAGTGGCATTGTCTTTGTGCTGTTCACCTTTTGGCGTTCTCTGGTCTGACACTGGTGAGACTAGTCCCTAACAGCTGTCTCTGGAGTAGGCCAATCAGTTTCAAAGACAATGCCATATATTGTCAGAGCGTGTTTGTTTGCATGTTCACCACAAGTACGTGCGGTTAATGCAGTTACTTGATTCCTTGCAAAAGGTATCTATTTGTGTTTGAACATCTTAACACCTCCTGTTTTCATTACCAAAAAGGCTAAAACCTATTCTTATGTTTAATACTCTGATACTGCCAAAATAAAACCAAACGGAAGCTGCCATTAAATATGTGGCGACAACGGCGGTGTCTAAAAAATAAAATAAAAATGTAAACTTACACGGAGAACTGGCGAAGCTTGAATTCGATGCTTTTGTGCCTCATGCACATCCGGGTGAACGCCGAGCCGATCTCCCGCGTTGCCCCTGAAACAGAGAAGAGCCCCGCACGAACACCGCGATTCTTAGAGACCACGGGTCAAGTTCGAACGCAAACACGAACGCGTAGCGAGGGCTCACTGAATCCATTACTTCGACCAAAGCTGCGTGTCGAAATCCAGAAACGGTGCCGGTGTAGATCCTTGGCCCATCTAGTCAACAGAAGGTTAACGTAATCTGAAGCGTACAAGAATACCCCTCTCGTATGGAAGCATGCCAAGGTTAATAATGTTGAAGCTTTACCGCATAATGTGAAACCCAACAGGGGGCGCGTGCAATAGTACACACACGCGCGCGCACGCACACCGCCAGTAGATCCAATTATCAGCCGTTAAGGAAGTGTCAAACTTGCAGCCTTTTTAAATGTCATGCCCGCTGTGCCCAACTACTGTTAAAGTGTCTCGTACAAACTATCTCCCACTTGAGACGCATTTTCTGACACACAAGGTGTATGCGCTGCTGTGCGAGAGTGGTTGCAACGAACACTCCGCTGTCACGGTGTCCCCACGTGACTCCACTGTCTCAGTGTCCCCACGTGACTCCACTGTCTCAGTGTCCCCACGTCACTCTGTTGTCTCAGTGTCCCCACGTCACTCCGCTGTCTCAGTGTCCCCACGTCACTCCACTGTTTCAGTGTCCCCACGTCACTCCGCTGTCTCGGTGTCCCCACGTGACTCCACTGTCTCAGTGTCCCCACGTCACTCCGCTGTCTCGGTGTCCCCACGTCACTCCGCTGTCTCAGTGTCCCCACGTCACTCCACTGTCTCAGTGTCCCCACGTCACTCCGCTGTCTCAGTGTCCCCACGTCACTCCGCTGTCACGGTGTCCCCACGTCACTCCACTGTCTCAGTGTCCCCACGTGACTCCGCTGTCTCAATGTCCCCACGTCACTCTGTTGTCTCAGTGTCCCCACGTCACTCTGCTGTCTCAGTGTCCCCACGTCACTCCGCTGTCTCAGTGTCCCCACGTCACTCCGCTGTCACGGTGTCCCCACGTGACTCCACTGTCTCAGTGTCCCCACGTCACTCCGCTGTCTCAGTGTCCCCACGTCACTCCACTGTTTCAGTGTCTCCACGTCACTCCGCTGTCTCGGTGTCCCCACGTCACTCCACTGTTTCAGTGTCTCCACGTCACTCCGCTGTCTCAGTGTCCCCACGTCACTCCACTGTTTCAGTGTCCCCACGTCACTCCGCTGTCTCAGTGTCCCCACGTCACTCCGCTGTCACGGTGTCCCCATGTCACTCCGCTGTCACGGTGTCCCCACGTCACTCCGCTGTCTCAGTGTCCCCACGTCACTCCGCTGTCTCGGTGTCCCCACGTGACTCCACTGTCTCAGTGTCCCCACGTGTCTCCGCTGTCTCAGTGTCCCCACGTCACTCCGCTGTCTCAGTGTCCCCACGTCACTCCGCTGTCTCAGTGTCCCCACGTCACTCCGCTGTCACGGTGTCCCCACGTCACTCCGCTGTCACGGTGTCCCCATGTCACTCCGCTGTCACGGTGTCCCCATATCACTCCGCTGTCTCAGTGTCTCCACATCACTCCGCTGTCTCAGTGTCCCCACGTCACTCCGCTGTCTCAGTGTCCCCACGTCACTCCACTGTTTCAGTGTCCCCACGTCACTCTGTTGTCTCAGTGTCCCCACGTCACTCCGCTGTCTCAGTGTCCCCACGTCACTCCACTGTTTCAGTGTCCCCACGTCACTCTGTTGTCTCAGTGTCTCCACGTCACTCCGCTGTCTCAGTGTCCCCACGTCACTCCACTGTCTCAGTGTCCCCACGTCACTCCGCTGTCTCAGTGTCCCCACGTCACTCCGCTGTCACGGTGTCCCCATGTCACTCCACTGTTTCAGTGTCCCCACGTCACTCCGCTGTCTCGGTGTCCCCACGTCACTCCGCTGTCTCAGTGTCCCCACGTCACTCCGCTGTCTCAGTGTCCCCACGTCACTCCACTGTTTCAGTGTCCCCACGTCACTCTGTTGTCTCAGTGTCCCCACGTCACTCTGTTGTCTCAGTGTCTCCACGTGACTCTGCATGCCACGTCAAGGACGCACTGTGATGTGAGGTGACCCACGAGTGCTTCGCCTATGAAGAGATTTCCGTGCGGAGAGCTGAATATCGAACGCTCGTGAAGTGACGACCCCCCCACCCAACCCCCCAGCAAGAAGTTAAAAGGGAATAGGCAGAAATTGCTGCGAGTTTCAAACAACGAACAATAAAATACCAAAACATCAGCGGTTCCTGAAGAACTGCATTGTGGTCCCCTTGCCCGTAAGGTCACCGTCAAAATAAATTTGAGCAAACGTGACCTGGACTGACAGGGCAGCAGCAGCAGTGAAACGGAGACAAACTGTGGACCGGTTTTCGCTCCATTGTTGGGACGCATCAGTAGAGCGGATATCCAACGCTCACCGTAACCGCCGTGCCGCTGCCTTTCCAGTTCCCACTGCGAGCGTCGTTCTCACAGTGCCCTGTGCACACATTGCGGAGTGGTGTGACCCACTGGGAAGCGCCATCTCCTCACCAAATATTGCCTTGAGGCAATATTGACGTGGGCCTCGGCACAATGACTTGTAGGCTTTGCAAGTCACCCAAGGCACCCAAGCCAAATGAAAAAAATATTTATTCATGCTGGAGGAATCCGATGAGCTATAAAGCTCTTTTCCACAGATGTCCAGTAGAGGCGGGTAAGAACGTCACAACGACAAACAGTACAAAAACACGAGAGCAGTGCAAGAAAAGTAAACAAATCACCCAAAAACATACAAATAAAAATAAACCATCCCCATCCTACCAGGCAAAGCCCACTGAGGTATTAACTTATTTTTTTAGAAGCAACCTGGCCACAAATGATAGCTCAACGAAGTAGCACATCAAGTGGAAATGTATCGCAGCCAAATACTCTAAACGCGTGATGTTGATTCTAAATGTGGAGGGAAAAACCGGAGGACCCGGAGAAAAATCCACGCGGCCAGAGCGAGAGAGACACTCAAACTACAAATGTATATTTGTAGTTTGAGTGTCTCTCTCGCTCTGGCGTCAGGGCCGGGATCGTTTCCACGACCTCCTGCATAGCAGGCGAAGTAGTCAACATCTCTCCACCGCGACGCCCAAGATCTGTTACCAGTAATTAAAAGCCAGATTACTCAGACGTCCGCTTAATGCGGCGTTACCCGTTGAGACACCATCGATTGACACCCACACACAGGTCAACCACTCAGCCGCGGCGTTAACCGTCGGTCGGGCCGGGAGCTTCTCACTTCGAACGGAGCCTCTTTGGCACGGATCCGTCACCGTACAGACGACTGCTGTGTACGTCCAACGGCAGCATCGCGTTCTCCCATGCGGCAGAAGCTTGCCACGTTGGGTGGGTGGTGGGTGGTGGGGGGGGAGATCGTGCCAAAGCTTGCTGAGTGTTCAAGACTTCACTTACTTCCTCGAATGGTTTGCACGCGGACATGAGCGACAACGGCTCTGTCCTCCGAGCAAGATAGAGACCAGGGTTACTGCTCGATTCACAAATCCGTGCATGCACGTATGCACGCTGAACTTCTATCGCACCGTACGTAGCCAACCGTGCTAATCGGAGGTGCGGGAAGGGGGGGGGGGACAATAAACAAAAAAGGAGTTGTAAAGAAATGAGTTTCCAATCGAGATTTTTAAAGTGCAAAGCTCCAGCGGCTGTCTAATACGATGCGAGCCATGTTTTGGGAATTTGATTCAGATCGCTGGGTTCACAGCGCTGCATTCTTACCACTCTGCCATAGCCCGAGTTTTAAAACTATTTTTTCAAATAATCTTCCCGACAAATCATCCTTTCGGTGGGACCTCCCCTGTATGGTTTGGGGCAGTGAGCCCGTCCCCCATCTTTCTATATATCCCCCCGTCCCATGCGTTTCATAACCGTTTCGGCTTACGTTGACGGCGCGTGTACAGTACACGCACGTCACAATGCGGTGTAGCGGGCCCGCCGCACTGCCTCGATAGAAATATTTTTAAAATAATATTTTGACAAAAATTCTTCCCGAAAACCCGATTGTTTCGCTTCCTTGAGGCCTCCTCGTTAACCGAGGGCCGCACCATCAGCGGGGAAGGGACCCCCGGCCAAAGCCCTTAAACATTAAGGGGATCAACCGCCTCGTCATTGCGCCTGTGCCGGGCTCAGGGTTAACTATGTAAAACCCCGTGAAAGATCAAAACGCTCAATAAAATGCGGGGGGGGGGGGGGGGTGGGGGGGAGTCGGGAGGCCCCCCCCCCCCCGCCACGCGATTCGACTGCCGTTTGTCCAAAACGAGGGCTTTCGCCGCGAGCGTTCCGGGAAACTGCTCGCCGCCATCGTCGTTTTTGGAAATATCGCCCAGGCTGTTGGCACGAGCTTCCTTTTAAACAGCCAGGGCGGAGAGCATTTGAGAGATGACTTCTCCTTTGCAAGGGATACGAACGAAAAAAAAGTACAAATCTCAGTTATGAACCTGTGCATATATATTCGCCAGAAAGAAGCTAGCGATGACTGCGAGTTATGCATTATTAGAATTTTGCGTAGAAATAAGGACCCCCCCCCCCCCCCGTAGCATAACATCTCGTGGTGGCGAGATGTTGACTACCTCTCCTGCTATGCAGGAGGTCGTGGAAACGATCCCGACCCTGACGCCTGCTGTATATTTGGAGTTTGCGTGTCTCTCTCCTTGTGGTCGTGTGGATTTTTCTCCGGGTCCTCCGGTTTCTCCCTCCACACTAAGAATCATGTGTTTAAGAGCATTTGGCTGCAATACATTTTCACATGATGGGCAATTTAATTGGGCTATTATTTGTGGCCAGGTCACACCTGAAAAAGAGCTACATAGCTCAGTGGGCCTTACCTGGTAAAATAAAAATAAAAAGTTTTAGTAAAGAGAGGATCCCTGCCAGTAAGATTGGCAGATCACCAGCATTGATTCAAGGAAGCCTGACTGAACATCAGGGCCGATGAGACACGGAATGTCAAAACTGGT